CCAATTTGTGTTTTGTTTTAATATTTTTTTTTTTTTTTTATAAAAAACATCATATGCAGAGTAGTTATTGATTATTTGTTATAAAACAAGAGCAACAACAATATTTATTTACATTTTTTTTAAAAAAAAAGTAAAATTATTATATATATACCATTCTACTTTCTAATACATCACTTTTTTAAAATATTTTTACAAATAAAGATAAAAGAGTGATGTTTATAAATAAAAATAATAAAAATAATAAAGAATGTTAGTGGTATTTGTATGGGGGTTTTTTAAATAATCAATTTAAATAAAAGAATAAAATTTTTTGTGGTAGTTTTTGTTATAAAAGTATTGACAATCAAAATATTAGATTCACAATTTTATTTAAAAACAAAGTTTTTAAAATTGTTTTTTTTTATTTTTTTTTTTTGGTAATACTCCTAAACCACACACATCACCCATATTACATTTGTATAGGTTGACCTAGGATAAATTAAAGACCTACCACTTAGCACACACACTCCCAAATAAAAAAATTCACACTTAAATAAATAATTTTACAATTTAAATAATTACCCCACACCATTTTAAACTATATTAAAATGTTTATTTTAAAATAAATACCATATTAATATTTATACATATATTTTAAATATAATAATAAAATCAATAATGATAGTGATCATCAACAACAATATCATCTTTTTTAAAAATTATTTTTATTTTTTTTTGTTATTAACAATAACTTCACTATAAGGAAAAAATCACAACACAAAAATAATCTTTAGATTAAAGATTGGAAAGGGTTTTTAACATTATATTAAATAATCTTTTTATAATTTATTGTTTTTTTTTTTTCTATTTATTTAAATTAAATCTATAAAATAATAAATATATATCACATGTATTCTTTTTTTTTTTTATTTTTTATTTTTTTTTTTTTATTTTCTTTTTTATTTGTTTATTTATTTAATTTTTTAATTATATTTTTATTTTTAAATATCAAATAAATGTTTTAATTGTAATATAAATTCTTAAATTTTTTTCTTTTTCCTTATAACAATTATGTTTATGTGTATGTGTATGTTTATTTAAAAAATAAAAAAATAAAATAATAAAAAAAAAGTATACAAACAACACTTTAGTAAATTAATTAAGTTTTAATTTATGATATACAAATATTAATAAATTATAAATATAATAATTTTTTGTTAAATAAAGTAATAAAAAAACAGATCTATTTGTATTATCACTTTTTTTTTTTTTTTTTCATTCATTTCATTTAAACTTTAAAAAGATATTAACAAACTATATATCTTATTTTATTATTTTCCTTTATCTATCATTCATTTTTTATTGTTATTGTTAATAGTGATGATGATAATTAGAATTTAATATTCGAATTTATTGTTTCATTTATTTATTTCACACAAATATTAATTTTAAATTTAAAATATTGTGTTTTTTTTTAAAATATTGGGGTGTGTCTTATAAAAAATCATATTTATAAATATATATTAATATATAAACACTATTTATTTTATTCTATTATTTTAAAATAGATCATTTTTTTATTTTTTTTTATTATTTTTTTTAATAATTTTTTTTCTTAATTTAAAATTTTTTATTTTTATTTCAATAATATATTAATATCCAAAATTTGTGATCATTATCTTTATTTTTATTATTTTATTAATATATCATCTTTTGTTTTATTAAAAAGCCTATAAAATAATTTAGAATAAATTTGGTTTTTTTTTTTTTTTTTTAAATTCAAATTTAGAATAATAATCAATTATAGAAAGTAAAAAAAGAAGTGTATTATTAAAAATAGAGGCAAAAAAAAATGATAAAGTCAAAGGAAATTGAAAGAAAAAAATCAATAACAGATGTAAATATTTTAAAATAAAAAAAAATAAAAAAAAGAAAATACTAAATTTTATTTATGTTTATTAATATTTCTAGCAAAAAGAATCTAGTAATTCTGGTACAAATTGTTATACATTGTTTCTAAATGATATCAAATCGACACACAGTCAACAGGGCAGAAAATTCCCAAGAAATTTTATTAAGACAACAAAGTATACAATTTTAACTTTTGTTCCAAAAAATTTATTAGAGCAATTTAGAAGATTATCAAATTTTTATTTTCTTTGTGTATTAATTATTCAACTGGTACCACAAATCTCACCATTATTACCATTGACATCAATTTTACCATTATCATTTGTATTAATTATAACGGCAACTAAGGAAGCACTCGAAGATTACAGTCGTTACCAATCGGATAAAAAAAATAATTTAGAACCATATACTGTAGTAAGAGATGGTAAATTGGAAACCGTACCAAGTCAAGATATTTGTGTTGGTGATATTGTTCGTATTCAAAATGGTCAGCAAATACCTGCCGATTTAGTTTTGGTATCAACTTCCCATGAGGAGGGTTTATGTTATGTTGAAACTTCCAATCTTGATGGTGAAACCAATTTAAAGGTTAGAAAGGCTTTGCTAGATACAAATAAATTACAAACTGCTGACGAAATATCATCACTTCGTGGCAGCATTGTTTATGAAACCCCAAACGAGCGTTTATACAGATTTAATGGTAGAATTGTAATTCAAGGTAAAGAAAATATTATTCACTCATTGAACCACACAATGTTTTTACAAAGAGTATGTATAGTTGTTAAAGAGTAATGATAGGAATAAAATTAAATACTAATGTTTTTTTAAAATAGGGCTCGCAATTGAGAAATACTAAATTTATTTATGGTGTTTGTGTTTATGCTGGTGTAGATACCAAATTGTTTTTAAATCAACAACCACCACCATCCAAGTTTTCAACAGTTGAAAAACTTTTAAACAGATTAATTTTATTTGTATTTATTTTCCAAATTATTATTTGCTTATTATGTGCAGTTACCTCTTCTTTTTATCAAAGTATGGTTGCTATAGATATGCCCTATCTAGGAGATAAAATCAGTTTATCAATTTTCGGTGTTAGAAATTTCTTTACCTATTTCATTTTATTCAATACAATGATTCCAATCTCTTTATGGGTAACTCTAGAAATGGTTAAAGTAGGCCAAGCTAAATTTATGGAATGGGATATCAATATGCGTTCAAAAGTTGTAACTATAGATACAATAACCGGTGAAGAAAAAGAAGTAGAAAAGGGTTGCAAAGCTAAAACATCAAATTTAAATGAAGATCTTGGAAGAATTCAACATATTTTTAGTGATAAAACCGGTACACTCACAGAGAATATTATGAGATTTTGTAAATGTTCAATTGGTTCAGATATTTTCGATGAAAAGGAAAATCCAGGTAGTTTAATTAGAGCTTTAGAAGCAAGTATTGCAACAAATGAACAAAAAATTAGTAATGGTACCGCTTGCACAAAATATCAAATCACTCAAAGTTTCTTACGTATTCTTAGTCTTTGCCATACCGTCATTTCAGAAGTTGACGAAGCTACCGGTAATATAACATATCAATCACAATCTCCAGATGAATTGGCTCTTGTACATACTGCTAGTAATAATGGTTTTGTCTTTTTGGATAGAAGATCTGACGAAATTTTATTAAGAGAAAATGGTGTTGATACATCGTATGCCTTATTGGCAATCTTAGAATTTTCATCTGCACGTCGTAGAATGTCTGTTATTATCCGTACACCAGAAGGTACAATTAAGCTTTTAACCAAAGGTGCAGATATGGCCATCTCTTGTAGATTAATAAATGATAAAGAAAGAAATAGTGCTCGTGACGAAACATTAAACTTTTTAAAATCATTTTCAAGAGAAGGTTATCGTACTTTAATGTTGGCTGAAAGAGATTTAACCATCGAGGAATATGAAGACTGGAAGCAATCATTTATCCAGGCATCAAATACAATCGAAAATCGTGAAGAAAAAATAGAATCTGTTTGCGAGCTTATCGAAAAGGATCTTACTCTTGTTGGAACTACTGCCATTGAAGATAAACTTCAAAATCAAGTGCCAGAAACCATTGCTTATTTATTAGAAGCCGGTTTGCATATTTGGGTATTAACTGGTGATAAACAAGAAACTGCTGTAAACATTGGTTACTCGTGTCGTCTTTTCGATCCATCAATGGAGTTAATCTTTATAAATACAGAAACCTCTGATGAATGTGGTCAAATTTTAGATAGATATATTGCCCTTTTGCCACCAGAAACTACTGATGAAATTATTAAAGAAACTCAAACCTATGGTCAACAATCTTTATTTGGTACTAACAATGCCAATTCACCATTCAATTCAATAATTCCAATAAACAATTTACAATCAGGTTCTGGAAATAAAACCCCAGTTATCGATATTATTATTCCCAGTCTTCAAAACGAATATGGTTTGGTTATTGATGGCCACACATTAGCTTTCGCTTTAAGCGACCATAAAGAGAAATTCCTTCGTCTTGGTAGAGCATGTAAAAGTGTTATTTGTTGTCGTGTAACCCCATTACAAAAAGCCTTAGTAGTAAGAGTAGTAAAACAAAGTGAAAAGAAAATTTCATTAGCCATTGGTGATGGTGCAAATGATGTATCTATGATTCAAGAAGCTCATGTTGGTATTGGTATATTTGGAAAAGAAGGTACTCAAGCTGCTCGTGCTTCAGATTATTGTATTCATCAATTCCATCATTTAAAGAGACTACTTTGTGTCCATGGTAGATATTCATATATTAGAGTATCCGGTTTAATTCAATACTCTTTCTACAAGAATATGAGCTTTACCCTTTGCTTATTGTGGTTCTCATTCAATAGTCTTTTCACTGGTCAAACTATTTTTGATTCCTGGATCATCACATTTTACAACATTTTATTCACATCTCTACCACCATTCTTCTATGGTTTATTTGAAAAAGATATTGATGAAGATAGTATTTTACAATATCCAAATCTTTATAAAAGTATTCACTCTAGTCCAATTCTTTCAAAGAAATCCTTCTTTATTTGGAATATCTGTGGTCTATGGCACTCCTTGGTTACATTCTTTGGTATTAAATTCTTATTCGATAACGATGTAATGTCAGCAAATGGTCATGTTGCTGGTATATGGACTCTTGGTACTTTAGTTGCAACTTGCTCAATTTTAACTGTAAATTGTAGAATGGCAATCGAAACAAAACTTTGGAATTATATAACATTAATTGGTATAGGTATTTCTTTGGTATCTTTCTTTATAATGTTGATTTTATACTCTTATTTCTTACCATTAAATTCAAATATGTTTGATATTTTTTGTAAGTTTTTAACCTATAGATAACTATATTTATTATATGCATTCATATTAATTATAATTTTCTTATTATTATTTAGCGACACAAATGGAAGTAGGGCAATATTATTTTGCTGTAATAATTTGTATAATTGTTGCATTAATTCCAGATTTTTGCTTAAAATACTACTCAAGACAATATTATCCAAAAGATGTTCAAATTCTAAAGGAAAAAGCAAAATTAAATTTATCCTCAAAAGAATTTCAAATGAAAGAGTTTAATAATGCAAATAATATAGCAAGAGCCTAAAAAAAAATAATAAACTTTTAAAATTTAAAATAAAATATTTAAAAACTATACCAATTTTGGTATCGATGAGATCGAAATTAAATTATTTTTATTTAAAACTATTAAAGAGTACTTGATGGTAATACGTCCGGTAGATTTGTAAAGAAACCATTGATTGGTTTAGTTGGAGGGGTGATGGTGTTGGTAGCAGTAATATGGATGAAATAGTACTTGATTGTATCGTAAACTTTTGCCCCGCTACGTTCAAAGTATTCATCGGAAGAGCCATCCAATGCAAAATTTACAATTTTGATGAATAAATGTGTTTCATCGAAATAATATTTTGATCCATCACTATCTCTAACATCTATTGCCGAGGCACCTAATGTATAGTTTTTATAAAGTTTTGTTCCCTTGAAATCGCAGCTAACACTAAAGGTTGTTCCTGATGGATATGGCATTGCAAAAAAGATATGTTGACCAAATGCGACTTGTCCAACCCAGATCTTCATATAAGTTGGTGATCCAGCCGGTAAATATAGGTACCACCCAAATTTGCCAATACCTGTGATACCCGGATTTTTTGTAACGGCCATTGTTCTCCTATCTGATATACCTGAACCAAATAATGAAATATTTCCAACATGAACTTCAGCTGAGGCTAAACCTGTATCGATATATCCTGGTATTATTGGTGCAATATAAGATATTTCATATTGATCTTTATCGCAAACATAGACACGCCAATCACTATTAAAGTTGCAACTATTATCAAAATTCCAAAAACTTTCGTGTGATCCAATTATTTTTGGTGTTCTTTTTGTTGGTGTCGAAAATACTGATCCATCTGAATCTAAAAAGTTAAAATGTCTACTTGAACCAGTATCTATTATCCTGTGTCCTATATATTGTGAAGTCGCTGTTCCTTGTATTGTTATATTTTTAATTACTGACATAACTATAATAAAAAATTTTAAAAAATATAATATTTTAGTGTTTAGATATTGCAAAACTTTAAATAATTTTAATTATAATTACATTGAGGTTTAAACTCATCAGAATGGGTCATTCCAATGAATACACAATTATCTTCTTCTGGGTCCGCGGCATATGGGAAGTGAATATAGTTTCTAAATACTAAAAAACCTATTAATAAAAAACTAATAAACAAAAAAAATTATAAAAATATTTACCAATATTTGATAGAATTGTTTTAACATTGGTATCATAAAATTGGAAACCTTGTCTAGTGTATTCGTCATCAAAACCTTGAGCTACAATATTACCACTTCTTCCATTGATAATTGCATTGTTTAACCATGCTTCACCAAAAACACTTGCCGATCTTACTGTATCATGTGATTCATATCTATTAACTAAGATTTTAAGAATGAAATTATTAGAATAATAGTTTTGTGTATATATGTATTGGTAAAAACTTACCCTCAACACGCTCACCCCAGTGAGATATACTTCTTTGAGATTGTCAAATTTTAGTATTTTGAAATAACATACTGACCTCGTTACCAGGAACTGCTGAACAGTTAATATATGTTGGACGTGAGTATCTACCGCTGCTATAATAAAGCAATCCATCCCCTCTATTGTAATATAAATATCCACCAACATAAATTGATGCTGTGTGTGGATTGAAATAACCACTGGAATGTGCTGTATTTGATTTAAATTCTTTAATTGGATATTGTTGGGGAATTATCGGTGAATCAATAAATTGACCTATTGGACTTGGTAGGTTGGGGAAACTATAAATAGCTGCGATTAGAATTGATATTAATAACAATAAGTAAAATTTGAAAAATCGCTGTAATTAAATTTAAAATACATACCCCATCCACCAGAAGCATTGGTAATATAAAAACCACCAGCGGCAGAATCTGCTGGTTGGGTTAATTCGTCAGATTGTTTGAAGTTTTGGCCCTTTTGATCTCTGCCCTGAGCAGGGGAGCCAATTGGATGAACATAGGCAGCAAGATTAAACAATAGATTATTATCGACCTCAACACCATCTTCGAGGTAATAACAATGTCCTCTTGCATCAAATGCAACATTATTTGAAAGGGTAAGATTAGAAGTTCCATGGATAGTATAACAACTAAATTAAATAAAAATATTAATATAATTAAAAAAAATTAATATAAATAGTTTACACATACCGGTAATATGAGTTTGTAACAGAACAGTCGGAAATAAAAGAGTTTTTAACAATACCAGCTAAATGGAAATGAAGTGGATAACGTGCTTTAAGATTAGTCTGGCCACATTTCTTCAACTGAATGCCAGCAAACTGACCCTCTCCAACAACCAAAACATGGCCTCCAAATGAGTCGTTATCAGCAGATCCATCACCGTCACCATTTAAAACAATTCTTCTTGATAATAATGCAACCTCTGATTGATATTCTTGGCCACCATAGTGATAAAATTTTACTGGTGTTGTAAATTGAATTGTTTTACCCTGAATTGCTGCAATCGTTAAAACCTCGTTTTGATTATCGACTTCATCTTTGAAAATACTTGTTGTAATTAAAACTTGTTGGCCAACCTCCCAATTAACTGAATCTATTTATTAAATAATAAAAAATATGTTATTAATAAAATAATTTAGTTTATAATAAATAGTACTAATATTATATATACCTTAAATATAAATTATATAGTCACCACTCCAAACAGTAGCAGACAATTTAGTCCAGGTATAGTGATATTGTTTACCATGAATACTAATAAAACCACCCTTTTCTACAGCAATACCCTTACTTCCATAATGTTGTGATATAGTATCCTCAGTTGTTTTGCTTCCATGGAATATAATATTAATATAAGAATTATATCTGCATGATTTTGTGCCCATTGTAAATTTACCCAAAACTAAAATGTCATGAATATGGATTGTAATATTTGAATCTGTAAAAACCAGTTCACTATTTTTTGGAATAGAAATTTTTTGGTAAACATCAGTTTGGGAAATGGAACATGGAGAAATGAGCGCTCTTTTACCCTCTGGTAAAACAATATTTGATGAAGGTAATGGTACAAGATTATTTGGCCAAATTGATGGATCATGCCAATGAACCAAATCGGTATCTTTATATGGACAGGTTGAAGTATCTTGTGGATCTAGTTCTAATGGAGGTTTCTGAATTGTAACAAGCTCCGAATCCTTCTTTAAAAGCGTTGGAGTTTCTAATGCTTAAGATGGAATGGTTAATTTCATATCACCAATGAAAACAGTTGTAGCAGTTGATCCATTTTTAGTAGTACGGTTAACCTGAACTGCCATTACTGAAACACCAATATCAACTGTTGGGGTAAAAATCAAACTTATTTTTTTAAAATCTGTTGATGAAGAAAAATCACCAGTAAAAAGTTGTGAAAAAATTGGGTCACGCGGAGAATATTTAAAGTATTGGTTTGAAGCATTTGGATCTGTTATATGATTTGGATTGTAAAAAAATAAAGTCATATTTGAAATTACATTGTATTTGTTTAATGCTTGACCTAATTTTAATGAAAGAGAGAATTCATATTGATTAAAAGCTTTTAATGATGGGGTTGATGTTTTCCCGACTAACCAATTGCTATTTGGTGCGTTTGGGGCTAAATTAATGGTAAATGAATTTGAAACACCCTGTGGGCCATCAGTAAGACTTGTACTTGAAAACAATGATTGTGCCATAAATGTTAAATTTGTTTCATCATAAAGATAATCTGTTTTTGGTTGTTGTGTCAAGATTAATGGAGATATTGGTGATTCTGATGAAGATGTGGTTGGTCTCCAAGTCGATTCAACAGGACAAGTAATCTGAACATTTGATATTGTCGTGGTTGAACCAGAGTTAATAACAATGTTCGAGCCTCCCGTGCCGCAAGAACCCTCTGAACTTGTACCAACAGTTTTAATATTACACCCACTATCAATATTTAATTGATTTGATTTAACTTTTATAGACCCACTATATCCATTCTAAAATATTAAATAAAAAAAATGTAAATATTAAATTTATTTAAATTAATAAAAAAAAACCAAATACATACAAAGAAATGTAAGTTAATATTAGAAGTTGAATTTAAATTAACTTGTGCATTTGATGAGGCCAATTGTAACGATGTGATCGAAATATCTTTTGATGAACAAACTTCCAATCTTGAAGAAATTGAAAGCTGATTCATTTTGACTTGATGATCTTTTAAATTTGAGCAAGCATCAACTTTTAAAGTATTTGAAACTAACCCGATTATATTTGATGAACCACTACCCAATGACAACTCTAATGAATCGAATTTATATGTCGATGGTGCTTTAAAATCGATTTGGATTGATACTTTTAATAAATCCAATGAGGATGTAATATTTGAAAACAAAACCATCCCAAAAACTAGAACTATTAACCAATTAAAACTGCTGTGGCTATTATTATTGTTTTTTGATTTCAATCCAAATGATAATACCACTATAATACCAAAAAATAAATGTATTATGCCACCATTTATACTTATCTTACTACCTAATGATACTTCATCTTTTGTAAAATCATTAAAAGCAATTGATGTTTTATCTTTAGATACCTTAGCAATATCATCAATATCTTTAGCATCACCTGATAATGATGTTATAACTAACTTTGGTTTTGATAATGTATTATCAATTAAATAATTGATTTTTGTCTAATAAGAAAAAAATATATTAATATTTACAGAAAAGACTAAATATTAATTTTATTTTTACTTACGTCAATATTACTGGCATCAATTAAAAATTTTGTTGACGATATCTCGACTTCGCCTAAAACTTGGTCCTGAGATGAAACACTATATAAATGTATAAACAATATTAGAAAAATGATTAATAACTTTATTTTCATTTTTTTAATAAATAAATAAATAAATAATAAATTAATAAATAAATAAATAAATAAATAAATAAATAATATTAAAAATAAAAAAAGAAAATTTTTGGATTCTAGAAACTATAAAAATACCATTTATTATCTGAAAATAATTTCAATTTAAAAAAAAAAACAATAAATAAATATCTACAAAAAAATATCTTTGGATACCAAAGCATCATCCAAAACCAAAAGAAAAAAGTAAATTTATTGTAGATTTAAATAAAGAAATAATTACCTAAATTATCAGGCACTAAAATATGATTATAATTAAAAATGAAATATAAAAAAGGTGAAATATAAAAAATTGAAAAAATAATAATAAAAAAAATTAATAAAATAAAAAAAAAGGAGCCAAAATAATTTATTTATTACAATAAAAAATAATTTATTAATATAATCAATAATAGAATTTATAAACAATAAAATTCTGTTTTTAATAAATATTCTTTTTTTATCTTTTATTAACTATATAATAATTATTTAATATTAATCAAAACACCCAATTTCACACAACCCAAAAAACAACAATTTCAATCATTATTCAAACATTCCACGATTAAAAACATCCTTTGAAATTGTTATCCTCTGCTCTATCAAAATTTTTTTATTTGATTCATGATTATAAATATGAAGATTAAATAAATTAATTAGAATTTAAATATAATTAACAATCAAAAAATAATTTTATTTTATTTTATTTTTTATTTTTTCGTTTTTTTTTTTTTTTTTTTTTTTTTTTAAAAAATATTTTTTTTTTATAATTTTAAATTTTGTCGTTTTTTTTTTTTTTTTTAAAAACTATATTATCACTTTAATATTTATAGATAAAATTTAAAATGGTTTCAAGAGCATCACAAAAAAATAAAGAAGAAAGTGAATCAATTAAAGTTAACAAAACTGTTCTTGATAGTTTTTCAACCTCACAAGATGAAATTAAATTAAAAGAAAACAAAAAAGAAAAGGGTGAAAAAGCCTCAAAGAAATCATTAGATTATATTTTAGTAAATATCTATAAACATACAGTTAACTATTCATAAAATATAAAAAGAAAAGAAAATTAATAATAATTTAAAATTATTTTATAAAATAGGGTGTTAAAGGTGCAACTATTAAAATTACAAAATTACCAAAAGGTTTTAACGAAACCGAATTATTTAGATTCTTTAAACAATTTGGAAATATTAAAGGTGTTAGAGTAGATAGAACTACAAATGGTAAATTTTCAACACAAGCATTCATTAGATTTACTGATGCCGAAGTTGCTAAAATCGCAAGAGATGCAATGAATGGTTATATTATGTTTGGTAAAAAATTAAATGTTGAAGTTTTAAATGCATGGGTACCACATCAAGATTCATTTTGCCCAAGATCATTACTTCCAGTTGCTTCAAAAATGCAAATGGAAAGTTTAATTGACTTAAAAGAAAGAGAAAAAGAAGAAAAAGATATTTATAATAGTAAAGATAAATCAATTTTACTCGTTGCTCAAATGTTAAACCATCGTATTGAAAAAGAAAATGAATTAAGACAAAAATTAAAAGATTTTAATATTAATTATAAATTTACCGGTTATTTAGATGTAATTAATCATTTTAAAAAAACAAACAAAAAAAAAGATATTTATAAAATTTTTAATATTAATCACAATTTTTATTTATAATATTTAGATTGTTAAATCAGCTCTTTGCCCACAAGATAAACCAACTACCACCAAACCAGAAACCACCAAACCAGAAACTGCCAAACAACAACCAACCAAACAAACTGCCCCAAAACCAGCTGCTAAAACAGAAACCACCAAAACAGAAACCAAACCAGCTGTTGTTGCCAAAACAGTTGCCAAAAAAGTTGTTAAATCAAAATAAATAATATAGAAAAGTAAAAAAATAATAAAAAAAATAAATAAAAAAAAATAGAAAAAAAAAAATAAAAAAATAAAAAATTTTTTAAAAACTAAATAATGATTAGTGTAAATTTAAATTTTATAATGTTTTATTTTTAGATTTCTTAAAAAATTATTTATTTTAAAAAAAAGATATTCATCCTAATTATATTACTTTAGTTTTTGTAAAGTGAGGGTTTGATATAATTAAGTAATCATTACAGTTTTTTAAAATGTAATTGGTTAATTAATGAAAAAATAAAATTAATAAATGTTTATGTTTGATTATGTTTCCGGTTTGAGGGATTGTCGGGTTTGTTCGGGTTTGAATCTCTTTGTTAAATACTCTCTAACTTCTTCGGGAACGAAACCAAAGGGACCTGGACCACCTACATATTTGAATTGTTTATTTTCAAGGATAAATAATCTTTCTGGGACTGCATCATAAACTTTATTGAAGTTATTGTCCATTAGGTCAACAAGGAAGGGGATGGTGACGAATGGAGCATATTCTTTTAAGGCTTTGACAATTTCTAATCTTTGTTGCATGGTAGTAGGTTGTTTATAGCAAAGTGAAATTTTATCACCCCCGATATACCACTCATCGGCAGGATGAATCTCTTTCATATACACTATATAGCAATCTGCATACTCTTTAAAGTCAGTGAAGATGTCTTGCAACATTAACATCTTGTCTCTGAATGGGGGTCAAGTAAAACTACCACATATTAATACCATTGGTCTATCACAAGGCATATTATCAAACTTGTCATAGAGGGAAACTTGATTCTCGGTCCCTTCTTCTAGCAGGGTTGCATCAGGACAAACGGTATTGGTCTCTAGTTTCAGCCTTTCTCTTTTTTTATAGGTAAGAATACTGTTTAATTTAAAGGGTTTCCATATACCATTTAAAAACACCTGTCCCAATTCCCAACGCGAGGGATGATAGCCATTTTTATAACAATCTTCGGTAACTTTTGGGCACTTTAATTCTCTTGCTTCTGCTCTTTTAATTTCCTCTTCATCATAATCTTGAATATTAATTAATAAATTCATATTTATATTTTAAAAATTAATTTTTTATTTATTTAAAAAAATAAAAAATAATTAAAAAAAACATAAAATAAAATGAATTTATAATCAATTAATATCTAGATAGAGAAAAAGTAAAAAAAAAAA